GTATGAAACTGCCTGATAAAGAGAATAATGCACATTAGCCGTCGTCTTCCGCTGAGACTGGCTTACGAATATCTTCATTGATACTTTCAGAAAAACTGAAATTCATATGATTTGTGTTCACTGGCAGTAGAATTTTCCCACAATGTCATGAGTAGACCTGACGTTTTCATTGAATTTCACATAACCTTGCTTTCCCAAACATTGTTCTCTTCCAGGCTGGAGTGGCCTGAACTTTCTGCCCCGCCTAGGTCTTGTCAACACACCCAGCGTGAGTCGAATTGTGACGGAACAGCATGTAAACTCGTCACGGACATGTGTCAATTTCAAGGAAGTCGAGGCAATTTGGCACATCATCTTTTTTGGCGAGATTGTCGATGGAGCACTCGACGAAACAATCGACGGAATTACCTTTTTTCATTCATTGAAAATGCAGTCTACGTCAGCCGGGATGAGAACACCTTTTGGCAAAGCGAGTTTATGTGAAATTCAATGGAAACGTCAGCTTGTGGGAAAATAGGGCTACCTAAATCCTTCATCAGCTTATATGAAATAGGGTGAACACAACTCATTTGTTGTCTCGACGACCTACTCAATAGCAGACAAGTGCAATGACATCTGAGGAGTCCAGTTACCTTTTGTGAATGCATTAGTTATATTCACTTTCTTTTTCATCTTTGACTGTAATTGCATCAGCCAGCTAATCGCTTTTTCTTCTTTCTCTTTTCTTTTCGCCATTTAGACGCCAGAATTCGTCGCACCCGCGTTCGAGGTACCGATCAGCTGGCGATCAAGCTGAAGCGACGCCTCACGACTGTCGACGAGGCCGGGGACAGACCGTCAGTCCTCCTCGACCAGCCCCACTTGGCGGCCGATCTTCAACCGGCTTCCACACTCTTCACTGGCCCTCCAGGAGCAGGCTTCCAGGCAACAGATGCTTACAACAGACACGGCAAGGTAGATGGTCATTGTAGACACGTGAAATTACAAAATGTATCTCAGCTTCACTCGATTGAACACTTTTATGAATTGAATTTAATGTTGCAATACATATTATTTTTTAATTAAATAACCCATTTTTGATATGTCATAAATGCATTATCAATGTATTTTATCATCTTTTATTTCAACATTCCTTATAGAAATGTGAAATTATTGTTTTGAACATTCGATTTTGTCAACATGTCGATAGATCTAATATTAAGTCTATTATTAAATGTATTAAATGTATGTTTAAGGTTTATGCTACTGACATGAGATTTAAGTAGTGCAATATTGGCAAATTGTTTAGTCTTGTCGATTCTTTTATGAGTGTTATTAAACCAGTACATGCTGGCACAGAGGAGGTCAGCTAATATCGGCATTATTCTTATTATTAGCATGTAGTTGCGAGTTAATGTGTATAATTGCGAAATATATCTACCTAACATACGAATTTTTAATTATGAAATGAAGGCGACTGTGAGATTTCTTTCTTCGGCTCTACCCAACCTTTTTTTACCCATTCCTACGAGTTTTCTTGCCTTGTTGTCGAAATGTGCAGGATTTCGTCATACACAATGCACAATCCAATTTGAGTGAGACTGATTGGTGCGAATCCATTCACAGGAAACCAAGTTATGCCCAGGCATCCAAATAAAAACAGTAACTTTTCGTTTACATTTCTACCCTTCGGAGTCAACAACTCAGGCTTAGTATGTCTACAAACGGAGCTCTTACGATGCCACAGACTGGAAAGTCTGCAGCATGTATGCTCTCCAAAAGGAATTGGGAAATGTATGCTTGTCTCGTCGGCAAGCTTTATAATAGCATAATCATTTCCAAATTCGGACCGTAGACGCGGTAAATTCGTAGACATTTGGCCGGCATCCTAAATCAGTCCTACCATTCTTAACACCATACAACAACTCGTCAAAGAGATAAGTGAAGACGATACTTTGAACAAATGTGTGTGTGAGTGGGAATAACGCCTCGAGTGAATTATGTGAACGGGGCAAGAGAGAGACTGTGATAAGACGTGTGATTCACATTCCCAACACAAGGATGAAGGGTGTGATTACAACAACGTGCAGTGCGAAGGGCACAAATGGTGACAGTGAAGGTGTGATAGGAGGATATAGGAACTGTGAATTGCGAATGTACCACGTCCACGATTCGACTTTGGGAATGATTATGCATACAATGGACCACGGACAAGGTGTGTTCCTCTAAGTCTTCCTGCCGATATGACCCAGTTGCGAAAACAAGGTCAAACAACTTATTATTAGCGTTTTATTCATTTTCTTTCCTCATTGGCTAATATCCAAATAATCCGACCTAGACGCCTCAAAAGTGGCGACCTTTTTTTGAGGTGATGCCGATTTTTGCCGGCAACAGTAGTGCTAGAAGTAGTACTTGAGCGTTGTCAATTCGGCTGCAAAGCCATTCATTGTGTGGCCCTTTTGCCCTCTTCCAACAGGACGACCAGACGGCCAACATCTCGCTCCTGCTGACCGACTCGAGCACCATCTGCGACAGTCGGGTCTCGTTGTCCAGTCCCACGGGATCTCGTGTCTCCGGTCTTCCGCTCCTTCCTCTCGAGCTGGGCCCGGCGACGCCGTTTCCACCGGGACCCGGACGACTCGCCTGCTTTGCCTCTCCCCTCGGTCTGCAGTTGCACAACCTTCAGCAACAACAACAACAACAACAACAGATACAACAACAACAACAGGTCTACTCGTACTTGGCGTGTCACAGACGACCGCATTCGCCGCCGTCGTCGATCGCAGCGCGAGTGAAACGCGCCACGCCGGCCAGAGAAGCGGCCAGTCTGTCGCGCAACGGCCTGCGTCATCCGACGCTGCCGGTCGCCGCGATCAACGTCGTCGCGAGCACGACCAGTACGAGTCCCAACTCGGGCCAGGGCCTCAGCGGGAACACGATCGCGCACTTGAGCACAAACCTCATCCCCAACCCGCTGCCCGTCACGAGCACAGCCTTGGACTCGAGCCCCTCTGGCGCCATTGCCGTTGGCATGGCCAAGGCAACGGCAACGGCGACGGCGACGGCGACGGCGACGATGACTTTGGCGTCGAGCGTTGCTGACTTGAATCCGGCCTCGGGTTGTCCGCCGGCCTCCGACGCGGTGACCGGCACAGCCGCGACTGGCCTCGTGTTGCGTGACGAGTCCGGCGGCTTGGCGCCGATGCGACCGCGTGTTTGTCCGCCGCCGAAACGGCTCGAGCCGATGGACCGAGAGCTTGAGGTTGCTCTGCAACGGGTGAGTCGTCCGTCCGGTTGTCTCTAGGGGCGGTTTAGTCACTGCTTTTTCCGAGTGAGACTACTCACAAAGTGGTCAGTAGCAATGTCGAATATGGGTCATTCTTATTGACACTGTTGACGTGTACCCGGGATTCGGTTCGGCCACAAAGTCACATGTGGTTCTGTAGGGGGTTGGGCAGGTTGAGGGGAGATGAAACAGCAAGAAAGCCTTTTGTGAAGTTGAGTACGCTGTTTCGAATTCGCCTCCTCCTCCCTCATCGTCACCTGAAACGGGAATCGAACTCAGCCAGTTCAGAATGCAATTTCGACATGGTACCATTGCATCACTGCGTCGAGGAGGCAAACATTATTTATGTACAGTTTGGGTAGCTTTCAAAACCGCGCATACATTTTGACTAAAAGCATGATCAACTTGACTTGACTTGTCAGTGTAGTCTCGACCTCCCTCATCAGCATCCGGTACGTGATTTTATGCTGGTTATTGAATGTTGTGGCGACGCTACACACTCTACTACACAATTATGAGTACCAGTTTGTCGGAGTGCCGATTGCACTAACAGGCGTTGGCCACGCCAATCGACGATACTACTTATTTTCGAAATAAGTAGACTCAGGGACTTCCAGTAATTCTGGTCCCCATAGTTGAGTGGTGACCTCGTCAGGATGCTCACGACGATGAGGCAGGCTGAGGCGAAGTCAGAGCTGGCATTTCGAAGCGCATTTGTCTGTTTGTGCGGAAGAACTTCTTAACTCTCATCTTAAGCGAATTGGGCCGACGAAATTGTTATCCAGAAAAGTTAGTGCCTACTTCATTGGCATCGGGAGTTGTTCCCATTTCGTAGTGACTGGGTTTCAAGTGGAACAATTTCCCTTTCAACATCTACCCATAATACCAATGGCAATAGTATCGTCGTATATATATATAAATATGTATATATATATTTGCCATTTTTGAGCTCATTTTCATTTCATATGAACTTGTATGTAATGAATAGATTCATGTGGCATGATCGCACCAGAAACCGAAGGTAAATTACTCTTGGCCCTACCGGATACCTCTAGTTGACAATGTCTCTTCGGTGCCGGCTGAAATGGGGTATATATATATATATGAAATGTGGTATATATATATGAAATGGGGTATATATATATATATA